CCGACACTACGGATGCTCCAGGCTCCTCTTGTGTATTCTTTGACTCCGTCCTAGGATCGAGCATGTCTCTAAGGTGTCGTGGTCCTTTTCATTGGTATCAAAAAGTAAAATCTGGATGTCAGGCCTGCTCGTTGCCTGTGGGTTGTGATTGCCTGTCGCCCCACTCAGCAGATAAAGCAAGAAAATCTGATTCTATACTAACCCATATCCTCTGTTTCCTATATTTTTATGCTTAATATTTTTTAATCAATTCCTGGACATTCCGTAGTAAAAAATACATAATGCCTGAGTGATATTTTCTTCCAGCAGAGGGGATATTTTAAAACAATAATAACAATTAATAATAATAATAATAATTTTTAAAAACTAATTGCAGGCAGATAGATGAGGGCACTATCACCTTAATCCAATTAGCGATCAGACAGATTTGACGTCGGGTTTCATTCTTCACGAGGCTTGGTCTAGTTTTGATTTCCCTTACAAACAGAGTCCCACCGAGAGCTTGGGACAGATGCAGGCCCTCCTCACTGGTGGGATCTGAGCTTTTCCACTCCGCGCTATGAGACTGCCAGGTTCACTGAGCTTCTCAACCTGTTAGTTGCTGCTTCCTGCTTAGATTGTATTTCTTGGAAATTGGCAAGTGTTTCAAGTTGGGAATTAAAACAGGTCACTCTCGCTTTTTTTGGGTTCCTGTTACTCCATGATTTATTTTCCTCAAATCTTGGCAGCTTTTGTAGCCCTAAAATCCAATTATTGTTTTCCAGTCCCCGTGAGAGACTTCTAAAATCTCTGGTAGGCTACTATTTTCAGTTGGGAATTCTTCTTGAAATATATATATATATATTTTTTTTTTTAGTTGGTCTTGGTGAGAAGTTTGGTCAAAACCAAAAGGGCAAGTTTGAGAAAAATGTTCTTTTCTTTCTTTTTTTTTTTGTAAGCAGTTATCTGTTTTAGTTTAAAACATGTCTATACTGCATTACGCATCAACACAGATGTGACTAAGAAACCACCGTCCTGTCCCAGCAGACAATGGGTCCAACGTACGCCTTGGGGTGGGCGGTTGTTTTCTCGCAATGAGAGAAAAGAAGAAAAGATTGGAAAGATGACATGGACATTATTCCCAGCTACTGCTCAGGAACCTGAGTGATGCAACGGGAAGATAATTAGCTCGCACGCTCTTCGAATCTCTCTTCTCTGCATCAGCCGATGTCCAAACGCGGAACCTGGGCAGGTGGGCCAGCTGGACTTGGGCACAGACGGTCACGCTGTTAGATGACACCCACGGTTACCGCAAAAGCTGTGAGGAACGGGCTGTGCTTTCCGACTGATAGTTTCCTTTTTCCCGTTTTATGAACTCGTACAAGCTTAGAGGATGTCAGAACTCCACAGTCACAGTCACAGTCACAGTCACAACAGAGCATCCGCTCAGTATAAAAACTGTTTAGGGAAAAGCATTCACTTCACCTCGGAGAAAAAAAAGCATTGACTTGGATGGCGCTAATGCAGAATTGCAGCTCAGGCTCCTTTATTGGGATCTTTTCAATTACAGCCTCACAGAAATATGTGGTCTATCATGAAGATGGAGAATGTCTTCTATTGGGAAATTCAGCTTTTTTAAAAATTAATATTTTACAAGATTATTGTTGCTTCCCACACTTTTCTTCTGAGGCAGAAAGTCGGTGTTAGAAGCTGGCAGTTTCTCTTTCCCATGCTGGAGGCACACGCAGGGGGCGGGTCTTGGTTTCTGGAACACATGAGCCTCTGGCACCACTGGGCTTCCAGCAGCCTCCTTAGCCATCATCAGGGCTGAGATCTCCATGTTCCAGAACAAAACGGCCAATCGAAAGGAGTTATGCCGTGGAAGCAAGAGACGGCCGGCCCCTTCGCACTGGCTCCCTGTCATCTGAAGAATGTGGAGAGAGCAAGTAGGAGCAAACCTTTGAGTCATCAAGTCATCTCTGACAAAGACAGTAAAGCAAGTCTCTGGGCTACCCGGTGGCCTCCTGGTGATAAACACAATGGCTTCTCCAAAGTATGGACTTCCTGCTTGTGATCTAAATTAAAAGTTCTGGAAGTTATTTATCTAGTGGTGGGAGGCAGTTGCTCATTACATATTACCCACGTTTAGATTTCTTACTTGGTTATTCTCACCAAGTCGAGCTTTAAAAGTAGACCAAACTGGACTGGAATGTGTACATTTCAGCTGACCAGAAATTGCAAAATGCTTAAGCCATTTGCTGACATAGCACCAGGACTTCATTGGTATAAATATTTTCAGATTCCTTTGCATTTTAACAATAACAGAGAATGGTCTGAACAAAGATGCGAGTCCAGTTTCTAACATCGATGAAACTGCATTATCGATCTTAGTTACAAATCAGTGTACATAGTTTTGTTCCATTTTCTATGCATTTTGTCTTTGAAATCATCATTTGCAAAATTTGTATTTAAAAAAAAAATTTCATAGGATGAATGATTAGAGGAGCAAGTCTTATGAATTATCTTTCCTTCCCTGACTTTTGACATGTGGCGGGGATCACCATGGATTTTGAGTGGAGTGGGCAAGCACTTCCATGGGTCAGCTTTTCCCCCGTGCTCGGGGGCGGGGCCATCAGAAACTCACTTTATAAGACACGTTGGCAGAAGGACACAATTTTTTGGCTCTTTATGGCGAGTACCTTCCTGACGTTTTCACACAACCACAGCGATGATCCCACCAACAAATCCAATGGCTAGTAAGATCCCATCTGTGACTCCGACCAACTGGCCTGTCGCCAAGCCATCTTTCTCAACTGTTTTTCGTGTGTCTCTCATGGAGTAACGAATGGCCACATTCGAGGTCGTGGGGCTTCGGCTTTCTTCTTGGGCATGGACTGTGCTTTCTGAAGTTGGAGGACCCTCTCCATGAATGTCTGTGCGCTTTGTACTTGTGGGCACCAAAGCTGTCCAGTCAGTGGATTCACGGGGCTCCTCACCGTCACCTGGAGTCATCGGGCCGTCTTCCATACCTGGGGTTATGGCCTGACCGTGTTGGCTGCTGCTGCTGCTGCTGCCGAAACCCAGAGTGATGCTTTTCCCCAAACCAGCAGCATAACTGGCACCTTCCACATCTTCTCAGTTAACGTGTCCCCTTTGGGGTCGAGCGAGTTTCTGTGCTGGGGCAAGGTTAAAGATCCGCAGCCACAGGCCCTCCCTTTGCCTGATGGAATGCAAAAGTGGGGGCTGGAATGCGGGAAGCAGAAGTTTCAGCATAGGAGGGGTCCCTAAGCTCCCTTCACCTGTGGCAGCTAGAGGAGCAAACTGCAGTTTGAGAATCTTTTCTTGATAATGATATGATACTTGATCTTGGGAAACTGAGGAATCCATTCACTTGGTAGCTTTTTAAAAACCTGAACCTGGAATCTTGAACTCTTTATTCCTTTGACAAAGTAAAAATCACCTGAAAGGAAAAATATTTAATCTCAAACCTCACGATTAATTTTAGCCATAGATTATGACTACAGTCTTAGTAATTGAATTCTTTCTTTTATAGATCATCACAATGAGATCCTAATGATTGAACTGAATATTTTTTTAAAACTTTTTTTGCTAAGAACTAAGAATTGTTTACAAGAACTCCTTTATTTCTACTAAGAAATTTAACATGTTCTATATTTTCAGTAATGGCTAACCCAATGGTGAACACTCTGAAAGAGTGCCATGGCCTCATATTCCCCTAAGAATATACCAATAATTTTTTTATGAATAAAATATCTGATATATCACATTATTATCTCTGGGTTGTGGAATCAAGTAAAGATTAGCCTCACCTGGCATGAGCGATTCAAGGACATAAACTACATACGTGATTTTAACTGAAAAGGTTAAATGAAATGTCAGTCAGTTATTATGAAATTTCAGTATTCAGTTGATTTTGAACACTCCAACACGGTAAATAACACGTGGACTGAACTTCCAGAATGGCAGCATTTTGCAGAATATAAATTAATTCCTCATAATGGCTCTGAAAATTTCAGAGATGATCTTGTTCTTAGGTCCGTGAACATCAGCGATTGCAGCAGTGAGATAATTTTGTTTTAATCTCTTTTTTCCCTATTATTAAAAAAGAGAAATTACATTCTGAATATTTTATATATATACATATATATATATTTATATATGGTATCATAGCTTAGGTTGGCTTTAAGATTTTGAGAATCCACATATACATAGCTATATATAATTCTTTTGAATGTTTTGCATCAACATCAACATATTTGGAATTCTTACATTACTTATGTTAAAAGTAAATATTAATAAAGATATTTTAAGTATAATATAAATATGGAGAAAGTCGAGTAATAAAGAAAATAATAGGTAAGTGAAATGTACTCCCAACTCAGTTTCTAATGAATGGCTTTAGGGATCTCATGTTGTAACTTTCCAAAAATCATTTGGCTTAAATCGATTTCAGTGAAAATCCATAAACTTCCTATACTCTCTCATATTTATTGTTATTTATTCTTTCTTGAGGTTTTATTATAGCCACATGTAAAATCACTCTTCCCTACCTAACCTTACACACATGAACATGGAAAGTTATGAAGAATTAGTATAACACCCTAATTTTCTATTCCTCTTGGTCTCAAGAGACTTACTTAATGTTTCTATGGGATGAACTAAATGCAGATATTTGTATGTGTTGTATTTTTTCTTAACCTATTTATAGCAAATTAAAAAATAAAAAAAGATCTTATTTTGTCACATAATTATGTTCTTTTACTCACCGCTAATGTAATTATCAATTTTCCCCACTTTTTAAAAATCAACATTATATATTGCAATAAGTGTTATGATCAGAAAGGCATAAATAACTATTATCAAGCTTCCAAATGCTTGGACAATTCTTATACTGGCAAAGAATAGTGTGTTATCTATTAAGTTATAAAATTAACAAGGCCAAGTTTAAAAAATAGAACTGGCCTATTTAATTGGTATTTACTCATCAGCAAATCTAAAATGTAAAATTCTAGAACACAAGAATGCCTTTTTCCTTCTTTCTGATCCCCTGGTTATTCAAAGTTCCTCAGAGTGAACTTCATACAGAGGTAATACCATCCAGAGTTTAACTTACAGTCAATGTTTACAATGCCTTCCAATAAGACAATAGAAGCTAGATGTGAATTTTCTCTACTTGACTGTGAGCTCGTTGAAAAATCAAGTCTGTCTCAATTAAATGTTTTATGCTTATCACCTAGAAGAGAGACTGGCATATGTATTTTGTTCTGTAGATGTATAAATACAAGTTATATGATACAGTCCTAGTTTTATAAGACAGAGAGATTCTAGAGGTCATCTAATAAGAATTAAGAATCTCCGTATAAAAGGTAGGTACGGTGCAAGACTATACTGTTTGTTGATGGCAGTTTGTTGATAGAGTCATCCCAAATATTTTGGCTTTTGTCTAGAACTCTCTTCTGACTAAGGATTTGCATTTTCAAGATGATGAACCACCTCATCATACTTCATCATCCTGGCACTTGTGGCTTTCAGGGAACTGAGTTATCTTCTGGCATATTTACATGCAACGAAATCACATCATGCAACAATCTCATCCTCGTCCATAGCTCAAAGTTTATTGGTTTTCTATTGCTTAGCAGAGATACAAAGATTTTTTTTACCTTCAAGTTCTTTTTAATGTTTTGCCATTCGCTCTGCTCTTATGAGCCCTGTCAGAATGTAATGTGGGATTGAGGTTTATTTCTCTGCTCTGTTCCATCCTCCCATCAGTGACAGATTTTCTTGACATACGTTTGGCACTTGGTGTGTATTTTCTGTGTGGTGTCTAATATGTAGGGTGCTGCAACTGGAAAATGATCCTCTGTAACCCAGGTGGCATTGCAGAGAATGGATTCGTCAGTATTGATTTAGGCAGTTGATGGTTGCACTGGAGAGGGACAGTCATTCAAAGGGCTTTTAGTAAAAAAGCAATTGGTTAAGCCTGTGCTAAAAACAACATCTTCAAAAGATGTCCTGAGTAATAACCTTAAATTTAATTCTCAGGTTTCCTCTGCATTACTTCTCATTTAGTTAAGGCATTTTTAAAGAAAACAAAAAAAGGTTTTGCCATGGGTGCTTGCTAAGCATTAATTTCACTATGCAACATTTTTTTTTTCTACTAACATAAATTTTCTCAGCTGGCTTGTGAGTTTTGTGGATATAATAGTAGTCAGCTTTCTTAGAGAAATAGCACAGCGGTCTGTTCTTGGGTTCCTATTTTGGGGACAGTTTAGAATAGTCACTTGCTACAATTTTCTTACAGAAAAAAGAAAAACCTTTATATATTCTGGAAGTCTGCTTCAGTTTTCTAATTTAAAATTATTCACATTAAATACTTGGAAGCTATTGTTTTAGCCATGATTTCCATGGATTCTAAGTTAACCAAAATCTGTGAATTTTTATATATGCCAAATTTAGATAGCTTAATAACACATGGCAAAACTTTGTATTGCTTTTTGTTGGTTATCATCACCTTGACTGAGATTACGTGAGAAGTCTCTGCCCCTCAGTACCCCTTAAGTCTCCCTGGTTTGTCTTTTCTTCCATTACACTCACCACATTTTAACCTAATTTTACTAGGTCTTCGTGATTATTATTTGTCATCATCTTCCCCACCGAAATCTAAGCTCTATATCCCACATATCTAGAACAGTGTTGGCACAGAGAAGGCACTTGATAAGTTGAACAAATAAATCCATTCATTCATACAAGTGTGAATCATGATAGTATTCTTCTAAAGAAAATCATTTGTTAAGCAGCAAGTGTGTGGATGTCTGTACACTATTTACGAGGAAGAAATGACAGTTCATGGATATCCCTACTCTAGAAGAGTTGACTAAGATTACTAGCAAATGGGAAAAAAAATTAAAAATTATAATATGGTTTCAAAAGAAAGCTCCAAAGTCAAGAGAGTTTCTAATTTCTTCTGACAGGAGCGTCAAGAAAAGTTTTATGGTGGCACCCACGTGCAGCCCTGAAGGAGAGGCAGTGTGTCACACGTTTTCAGTAGGGCTCTGTCCCCTCCATGTTCGGTAGGAGGTTTAGTAACCCTCAGATTCTTGGGTCCTCACCTGAGGGTCCTGATCTCGGTCTGCTTTGTGTGGTCGGAGGACAGCAGCCGTTGTGACTCCAAAATCTTTTTCTTGTTGTTCTTCTTCACTTTTTCACTTACTAAAGTAGACGTGACATTTTCACTGTAGGTTGTCTCCGGATCTTTAATGGCTACTAATACGAATCTTCCCTGTTTACCGTTATTTAGACTCTTAGATCTCGAGCATTTTTGCAAAATTTATTTAAAAGGGCAATATCTATATGTAATTTATATCTATATCTACTATATTTTATATGCATATTATATATTTATGTACAATATATGTACATTATATATACATGTATACAATAGGTACATTTAAATGTATAATTTATGAAAATATATGTTTATAAAAGATATCATATTTTTACATAAATGTGTCATGTGTATTTATAAAATAGACAGAGGAGGTGGGGCAGAGTGGGAAAGAGAGAGACATCAGTAGCTTTTCACAAAGCACCGTTTCTGGGGGTCAGAGGGCTGTTCCTGTGGAGAACCGGGGGCCAGGCGGGCAGAGAAGAACACATACACAGAGAGAGAGTTGTATGTTCATGAAATAGCGGTTGTCCCCAGCCTTCTCTATGTCTCCAGACCCTGAGAAATAGGAAGGTCACACATCCACCATCATCCTATGGGTTCTGAACCCTAAGCTGTGTCCTCGAACCTCTGAACCCTAAGCAGTCCTTCTCCTCAAAGTTAAAATGGAAAAGGCAGCCGCAGAACAGCAAGGCAAAGAAGCCCCATTTCACCGGAGCCCGATGGTGACACTTAAAATCGAAAAAGTATATGAATATCTAATAAAATTCCAAGTTATAAGATAAAAGACAGGGAGAAAAGTGAATGTTAAATCTTCTAAGGGGAAAGCCTCAGGGGGAATCCATTGAGACAACGTCAGACAGCAAAATCCTTTGTTTAGATTTTAGGCAAAAGCAACTCCGTTTATGTTGTAAATAAACACAAAGATATTCTTTATCGTTCTCA